CCCAGCCCAGCGCTGGAGGGGAGCCCCTCCTTCACTCCGCTGCCAGCGCCCACCACTGCCAGGCTCCCAGCACCCTGGGGCACATGTCACAGGCGGGGCTATCAGGCAGCCAACACCCAGCCCCTGGCACAGCTGAGCCCGCCCACCAGGCGTGGGAAAGTCAAGTGCATTCGGAAAGAGCCCAAGGGACCATTTGTGCGAAGCCAGGCCTGCCGGGATCCCAAGGGGCTCACCCCACCGCACAAAACACGACACACACAGAGGCTCAGGCGCACACAACACACACACACACACACACACACACACACACACACACACGCTCAGACGGGCCAGGCAAAGGCATCTGGGGGCCCTGCTTTGGGCATCCCAAATGGATATAAAAGAACATGCTGGTGGCAGGGGTGGGGGGACAGCCTTCTAAGCCTGGTCTTTGTCCTTCAAGGCTCCGTGATGCTCTGACGGGGACGGTGGAGTGCTGGGCCCTGACACCACGGAGGAAGAAACACCCCTCCGGCACCCCCTCCAAGGACAGAGCTCCCACACCCTCCCACTCAGGCCCTGAAACCGTACCAGAGACGTGCCTGAGGGCACTGTTAGCCCTGGAATCCCTCCCCCATTTGTAAAGCAAAAGCCGTTAAGGTGCTCGTGGGTTTAAAACAGAGAAGGAGACTGGGGAATGGGAAGCCGTGTCCTCCAAAGCACCCTGGGGAGTCAGGCTGTGGCTGTGATGCTGCTGGACTCGTCCCCCGGAGCTGCCCTCCACGAGGGGTGGAGACGCTGCAGACCCCGACACTCCTCCCAAGTGTCCTTCTGTGCTGCTTAGAACCCTTTCCACCACCCCACCCAGGGCACCGGGCTCAGGAGCCACCTGCCCCAGCAGAGGCCGTGTGCCCGGTAGGTATCCTGACCCCTAGCCCCTCACAGATTGAGGAGCTGCATTCTGAATAAGCTGCCCCCGCCCCAATTCACAAGCCCCTGTGAAGCACAGGGGCTGCACCCCCGGGATTACCAGGGGTGCAGCCTGGACAGGGACTTCACAGCCACCTGGGATCTGGGCTGCGTGGACCCACTTGGCCGGCTTGGCTGCACGAGACCGCAAGAAGCACCAGGACAGGACGGCGGCCCAGCTTGGCCTCGCGCAAAGGCCAAGGGCGTTCTCCAGGGTCCAACGCTCCTTTCCTTCCTGAAGGGTCTGCGTCCTGGTGGCCACCGTGCCATCCCCTGGCCTCCGACGTCCATCCCAAACCCAGGAACAGGGCACTTTCGGGACAGTCCCCGAGCAGGCCCAGAGCAGGCTGGGGGGCAAGGACTCACTGAGGAACGATGCCCTGGGAGGGCTCACCCAGAGAAACCCCAACACCGGGAAACAAACCCACCACCGGCTGCCCCAGGCAGCTTCGCGGCCACTGAGGTCAGCCTGGGGACAGGCCCTGAAGCTTCTGGGTGAGGCGTCCCCTCCACCTGCCACCCCGCACGTCACCAACGGCTTTCCTGTTTGGGTTAGGATCCCAAGCGTTTCAAATGAACTGAGTGCAACCAACCTCCACGCTTACAATAATAAAATGCAATTTCTCGAGAAGCGTAATGGGATTGTTTTCTGCGCCGAGAAGGCAGCACGGTGCATCCATCCGTTCAGTGAAAGCTCCTGGCCTGACTCTTCAGAAGGCAAATGCAGGAACTGGGCACGTCAGCTCGACCCCATCAGCAGAGATGGGGGAAATTCACATTACCCGGAAGCTTCTCTCCCACCGTCCCTCAGCAGCAGACACAGCCATGTCCCTGGGGCTCGGGGAGGACCCAGAACCCACGTTCCTTAGAACCGGCACCACCAAGGGCACCCCCTGCAGGAAGTGCTGGCCGGGCCCTGGACAAACCAGACACCGACTCTGGCCTCGCTGGGCGCTGCTCCCTGCCCTGGCACCCAGGCCCCATCCACTGGCAGGAGCTTTGGAGTGCATGGGAGCCCAGGCCCCCCTTGCCATGGCTCTGCACATGCCATCCCCCCCAGCCCCATAAGCAGCAGGTGGGGCGCTGACCCGCTGGTCCACGAGTGGACACTGTGGGCACCAGGATCTCCCTGGACGGCTGCCTCTGCAGGGTCAGCAGCTGCCTGTGTCGAGGGGCTGGGGGCCACCTGCAGGTCCCAGAGGGCTTAGAGACGGCCAGACAGGGCCGGCGAGGGAAGGGGACCACCTCCACCTGCACCCCTTCCGACCACCTGGCCCGAAGCCCATTTCTGCTGAGACCCCTTCAGAGAAGAATCAGGATTCACATCCCAGGGACCTCCCTAGACCCCACGCCTCCAGCATATGGCTTAGCTTGCCCCGCCCTGTCCACCAGCGCTTGGCCAGCAGAGTGTCCTCTTCTCATCTGGAAGAGTCAGAAAGATTCCAGAAGGTTCTGGAAAAAGGAGGAGCGGGAGGGACTCATGGTGGGTCCTGGAAGGTGACCAGGTCCAGCACCCACAGGGGACACTGGCTCCCGGCCACGGCTTGAGCTGCAGCTCTGACCCCTGCACAAGAGGGCCAGACCAAGGCCCCCGCCCTCCCCAGCATCAGGTACGACCCTGAAGAAAATGATGAAGCCAGGTGGGCCTGGGCATGGCTGCCCTGGGGGACCTTGTCATGCCATGGGCACCCTGCTGTGCCCAGGTGGCAGGCTGTGGCACCTGCTGGGGCATGACGAGGTGTCCTGGGTTTCAAGAGACCAAAGGCGGGGTTGGAGGAAGACTGGGCCTGTTTCTGGCTCCTTCAGGCCCGTAGAGTCCAGCTTCCAGGGCAGGTGGGGCCTGTCCTTTGCCCAGGTGTCCCCGTGTGCGGGGGAGCACACACGGCGATGGGGGGGGGCACAGCGAGGCCAGGCTGGTTGGGTGAGGGTCTCAGGAGGGCTGAGGCCTGAAGCGAGGGTACCATTTCTCTCACTCAGTGGGCCCCTAGGTGGGAGATGGACAGGACGGGCCTGGCCTTGCCAAGAGAAGGTCACAGCCTGGTGGTAGGCAAGGCCCTGGAACTGTGCTCTCCAGACCCCTGAGGATGAGCAGTGGCCGGCCCCTCCCAGGTGGGCAGCGAGGCCCTTGGCTGTGCCAGGCTCCAGGTCAGGACCTGTGACCAGAGGCCGTGTGAGGCTCCTGGGCAGCCCTGAGCACCCTGACCACGACACCAACGGGTAGTGACCCAAGGTGGCCTTGAAGTTCAAGGAGGAAGATGGGCAGCAGGGAGGGTGGGCAGGCGGCGGGGGAAGAGGGAAGGGAAGGCAGGGCTGGGGGCAGTGGACAGCGGTGCTGGCAGAGCAGCTGGCCACCTCCCAGCTCAGCCGGCTGACAGTCCCCAAGGCACAGCCACAGACACTGCCCAGCAACAGTGTCCGGGGCTGAGGGGTTGGTGGACCTGGAAGAGGGTGCAGCCTGAGGGTGTCTGGGGTCCTGCCGAGCCCCACGTCCCCCTCTGTGCAAGCAGCGCCCGCCGTCCTATTTCCGGGAGCCCCTGGGGGTGGGGGCAGGAGAGCAGGTCACCTCGAGAGCTGGGGGTGTTATGCTGAAGCCCCTTCACTCCCCAAAACAAGCCTGTAGCCACCACCGTGCTTTCTAAACCCACCCCGAACACCCAACTGCAGCCAACAGGGTAATTTGCTTCGAAAAGGGCCAGAGCAGGGGAGGGGTGGAAAGCAAGCTGCTTCCGGGACCCCCAGCTCCTTTCCGCTCCAGCAGCTGTGACAGCTCAGCCCCCACCAGGCCCGGGCGGCAGCCCTTTCTCCTCCCCACCTTGGAGGAGGGTCAGCTTTCCCTGCACTCCCCCAGGCAGCAAGGGAGGTCTGGCCCCAGATGGCCGCCCGTCCCGTGTGGGCGTCTGGAGCGGTGCCCTGTCTGATGCAGCAGCTTTGCGCGCGTGGTCCCAGGGCCTGCGAGACCGGACCCAGGACCCTGGCACAGGTGCAGGGTTGATGGCTGCTCTCCCACGATGGGGCAGGCGCCACTCATCCACCCCTGCTCCGGCCCCGCCAGCCTGCCTGGGCCCCTGGACCCTTCTCAACACCAGCTCCGAGCACCCCCCCTTCACCAACTGGAGGTAGTGCAAGTGAGCCCTCCTGCCACCCGAGGTGAGGTCCTGCCCCTCGCCTTCTAAAGATCTAAGTGGGGAGTTTAAGGGTCAGGGTGGACCCACCCGCTGGGGGTCTCGGTCAGGCTTCTGAACGAGTTGAGTCCCAGCTCCCGGGCCTCCCTCCCAGGGTGCTGGGGTGAAGATGCCCAGGGCTCCAGAAAGGGACAAGCAGGGATCAGGGTGGGCTGAGCCCCTGACCAGCTTGGGTCAGAGACTGGCACCGCCTTCGCTGTGACTGAAAGGTGATGGGATTCAGGCAGGGTCACTCCTCACAGGAAGCCAGCGCCTCCCCAATCCTTGGGGACGGGAGCAGCTGAGGGTGCAGATGCGAAAACCAAGCGGCCTCCACCCCACGCCCCCCAACGGGCCCTGCACAGGGAGCACAAAGGCCAGCCCTTCGGAGGCAGAGGTGGTTCCTTTCCCAGGCGCACCCCCCTGGTCCGGAAATTGGCCTCCCCAACGGACCTCTGTGGGGCCCCTCAGACCAGCCTCACAGGCGCAGGGAGTTGGATCCCACGCCTGCCTCTTAGGGAGCAGACCAAGGACACAATTCCCCGTCTGTGGACCCCTCCCCTCCCTAGCCCCAGGGCCGTGTTATTTAGGCATCCCGCAGGCCAGAAACATCATAGGAACAAATCCCCAAGCAGGGGTGCCTGCACTTTGAGCACAAGCATCACCATCTGCCCAGTGAATCGCGTTAATTACAGGAAAGCTACACAAGTTTTGCTTCCTCCAGAAAAACTGCTTTTTCTCTTTTAATATTCAGCCTCTGCTCCCCCAAGCCCCACCAGCCTCTCTGGAATTAGAGCACAGCTGCAGCCCAAACCCAAAATACAATGCCCAAGCGTGCGGCACGAGCTGCTGCAAAGGCCCCGTGCCCCGCGGCCTGGCACGACCCGGCCCTCAGTAAGCAAAAAAGTCGGGGAAGATGCTGTCTACCTCCTCCCGCAGGGCCGAGCTGGGGCAGCTCACGTCTGAGCTCCATGGCTCCAGGGGCCCATCTGGGGGATCCTGGGAGCCGGGCTCATGGTCACCCAGGAAGCCGGGCTCTGCCCTGTCCAGCAGGCTGCTCCTGGCGGGGACCCGAAAAGGGGCACTGCTGCCTCTGCCCTCCAGGGACCCTGGAAGCAGACGGGACATGTCAGCAGAACAGGCAGGTACCCCAGGGCACGCAGAGTGGACTCAGTGTGCAGAAGGGGGCTCCCCTCTGCCCATCTGTTCCACCCAACCAGGAAGCCCTCTGCTCATCCTTGAGGTGGGAACAGAGGACCCCTGACCAGGTGGGTGGGCCCACTCCTGCCGGCCCTGCTTGAGACCCAGGAGCGCCAGAACCAGGAAGGGGCTCCCCCACCCCATGATGCCAAATCCTGCAGAGATGGGACTCATCGCACATCCAGACGCCTCTGTGGGGACAAGGTCTCGGGGAAAGGCTCTGAAACTGACTCGCAGCCGTACACAAGCAACCCCATGTTGCCGTGCACTCAAGCTCACAGATAACTCCCCACACACCACTTGTCACTCCCACTGGTTGTCCCCAAAACCACCAGCAGAGAAGAAAACAGGAGCTCAGAGACAGACGCTGGGACCTTAGCATCACACAGCAAGCTGGACCCCATCCCATCTCCCCAACAGCCCCAGCTGCCCGCCCAGCCCGCAACAGGACCAACCCAGACCCCAAAGCCTGTCCCAGGTTAGGGGAGGTGGCCCAGGCCGAGCATCCCCCACTCACCCAGCCACCAGTCGGGACTGGCAGTCAGCAGAAAGGACGACCCATCTTCGACGTCATACCCCGACACAGACCTGGATGCAACAAGAACACCCTCACCATGAGTCACCCCAGATGGACCCCAGGCCTTGCACCTCGAGAGAAGAACGTGGGCCCTGAAAGGCAGCTGTGGGTTCAGAGACAATAGGGTGCGCCCTCCCAGCCGGACCCTGAGCCCACCCTCCTGCCTGCCCCAAGCCAGCCCAGCCCGCTGCTGTTTCCTCTCCAGCCCCAGCAGCTCCCGGCCCACGCCCCAGCTGCTAGAGCTCGCAAAACACAAACTCACTTACTGTCAACCAAAACAAACGACCATTAAAGAGACGACAGCTGTTTCCAGAAACACGTTAGAAAGCCACATACACGGCAGAATCTGGCTGCTCCAGGACTGGGCCAGCAGCCTGGGCCATCCAGGCAGACACCGAGGACGTGAGGGGCAGAAACTTCCCGGGCAGTGGGTCCAGGCAGAGCTCGGGCAGGGCTGGGAGGAGGCGTGTAGCGGGTCACGCACACACCACTGGGACACCCACCTGGCATCCAACGCTATGGCCTTGTCAGTCCCTTGACCTGGGGACCCAGTGCGGCCCAAGCAGCTCTCAGAGTCTTCGCTCACCAGCGGGGAGGGTGTCTGCCGCGAGCGGGGAGACCACAGCAGGGGCGGCCTCAGGGCCCTGGAGGGACTCAGGCCTGGAGACCGGAGGACCAGGCTGGGCGGCTCTATGGGGCAAGCGAGGCATGGGTCAGCCTTCCCCACCTGGAGAGCAGCCCTCCCCTGAAGACCTGAGTCCCTGCCCACTGTGTCCTGCATAGGGAAGCCGTGAATTTCAAGAGCAAAAACCCAACAAGTAACCAGGAGAAGATAGACGGCCAGAGGTGACACCTGGGGCCAGGGAGGCTTCCTGGTGGAGATGCCGACTCAGCCTCAGGTCAACCATGGGGGACTCGGACCTGGGGACCCTCACGCTACCATCTCTCCCTCCATCTCCGTGATTCCTGACCAAGGACTCTACCCTCAGACCACCGTGCTGTGTGATCCCTGCACCCTCACACCCTGTGCTTGAGTCCCGACCTCCTTTGGGGGGCCCAGCTCTGCTGCCGGCCCTGGCGACAGCAAGACCCCCCTCCCTGCCTTGAGGAACACACCAGGGGAGGGGGAAGGCACAGTCTCGCCTCCCGTGGCACTCGCGGACTGGCAGCCGTGGTCCAAGCAGTGACCAACCGCCGTGGCAGGCATCCAGCATGAGGGAAGCGCGGTCATCACGCTGCCCTGGGGGCCCCGTCGGGGGTGGCACGACGGGAGGACAAGGGCCCACTCACGCTCACCAGGCAGGGCCGGTGGCCCACCCAGCACTGCAGCTGCCCCCACCGGGGCCTTACCGTCATCCACATCCACAGCTGCACGGCTCGGGGTGGCCTGCTGCCTGAACCACGCAAAGACAGAAGGAGAGACCTCTGAACAGTCTGCACACACCATGCCCGGGAGTCCCCTGGCCCCACAGCGACACTAACATGGTCACGCTGGACGTTCCCACGCCGGGGTCCGGGGCACCTGCTGGGGTCTGACTCGCCAGGGCCAGCTGCAAAACGTCCTTCTGCCACGTGTGCCACGTCTCCTTCGAAGAAACAAGAACCAAAAAGGGAAATAAACACAAAAAATGCAACAGAGACCATCAACCAGAAGAAAACCCACAAAAAAAGCAGGCTGTGGTCCGTCACTGGCCACCCTGCCTAGGGTCCCAGAGGTGCTCCCTGAGTGCAGACCGCGTCCTCAAGACTGGGGGTGGGGGCGGGAGAGAGGCTGAAGGCCATGCCTGCCCGGGGACCTCACAGCAATGGGCCTTTTACCCATACCAGCCTTGGCACCACGGGCAAGAGTACAGGAACATAAATGGAGAACACAGCTTGTCCCCGGGGCTCCCGGAGGAGGTGCGGTGCACAAGTGGAGGTGTGTCTGCAGAAATGCAGCAGCCCTGGCAGTGCAAGGCAGAGGGCAAAGGGAAGCCAGGCAGCCGGGTGGTCAGAGCTGCCCGGGGCATGGGGGGGATGCCCATGGCTCCTCCCCAGAGGGCTGACAGGGCTGCCGCAGGACAACTCACAGCGTGCTTCTCCCAGCCGGGCACCAGGGCGCTGGCGAGCCGGAGGAACTGCACCGACATCTCCAGGACCGAAGCCATGTCCTCCCGCCGGCCGTCGAACTGAGGCAGCAGGGCCCGCAGGCGCTCACAGCTCAAGGAGATCCGCTTCCTGCCTCCAGGGAAGTGACCACCGACCATGGGGCAATCTGGCCTTGACCCGGAAAAAGCACTGCAGCCACCAGAACCCCCTGAGCCCTTCAGGGATCGTGTCAGCGCACACACTGGCCCAGGGCCCTGGACCCCAAGCTGCAGGCTATCCAGGTGTTTGCCGCGGGCTACAGCCAAGCCTGCACCGTCGCTGCCTGGGGGTGTCGGTTGCACACGCACAACCTCGAGATGCCCAGGACCTCAGATTAAAGAAAGGGCTGCAACGATGGCCCTTGGGACCCCCACCCCCAAGAGCATGTGTTATATTCACCTCGGGGATGTATTAAGCGTTCCCTTACCAGACAGACGGCACCAGCCTGTCCCAGCCCCCTGAAACCAGCTCGCAGGCACAAACCTGGCCTTCTCCGACCCCCACCCCCCACCGCGCGGCCCCCACCTGCGCTCCCTCTCGCTGAGCACGTTCCGTGGGAGGCAGGAGACTGGACCCTTCGCCACCGCAGGGGCCGTGGCCTGGCCTGAGCCGTGGCGGAGATCCTCGCAGCATAACTGGGTCCCAAACAGGAAAAGGCCGCTGCCGAGAAAAGCCAAGAGCGCGGGGCTCTGTGATCCCAGAAAACGCCCCCGGAGCCCCGAGGCGGTGATGGACATCTTGGCAGGCGGGCGCAGGACAAGGCCTGGGTCGCCCAGGAACACAGCCCTGGGCCCTACCTCTTGGCACCCCTCCCTCTTTCCCCGAAAGAGCCGGGGGTCGGGGTTCTGCCCCAGGCGGGCCATGCTGGGTGGGGACGGGGATTCGGTGCATTTGAATTGGATAGAAGCGCCAGGTCTAGACACCCCGAGCACCCCCGGGCAGGGGCGTTCCAGCTGACCCCCTCCGGCGCGCGCCCCCCCACAATTCTCACCTGCACCCCTCGGAGCCGGGGACTCCGGGAAGCCCAGCGTCTGACGCAAGACCCTTGAACGCCATAGGCACGCAGCAGGAGCTAGTGGAGAGAGCAAGAGCGCGCCCGGGCCCCACGTGCGCCCCGCCCCGCGCATGCAGTCCTGCAGCCCCTCCCCCTCACGTGCACGCTGCCCACCCCCACGTGCTTCCCTCCCAGGCAGCACCTGGCCCGCCCCCCCCGCGCCCCGCCCACACGCGCCCCGCCTCCCTCACGTGCGCTCTGCCCCGCCCCACGCCCGCGTGCAGTGAAGCTCCTCTCGCTGAGAAGTTGCCAGAAAGAAGCGGCCGCTGGGGTACGTGGGTTTCTTCCACCCCTTCCGGGTGGTCGGCTCAGCTCCCGCTCAGTGGGGTCTCCCCTCACCTACCCGCCACGGGCGCCCCCGGGTGCCAGCCCCGAGCTGGGCCCTACCCTCAAGGGTCTCACGACTGGGGGGCCAAGTAGACGAGGAATCTGCGGAGGGAGGGGCAGGAGGGTGTCCTCAGGAGCGAGGTGGGCAGCGTCCCAAGCAGGAAACAGCGCGAGCCCAGGCGGGCCCCTGGGCTGGCACGTGGGCGAGGTGGGCAGGTAGGATCCCCTGTGTGGCAGGAGGAGTTGGACTTACCTGAGAGAAGAGGGGCCGGGGAGCTACAGGTGTGGGAGGAGGTTTCAGGATGAGTGTGGCCCGCGGGGGACGTTGAGGCCCAGCTAGGGGAGCTAAGATGGGAGCGGGGAGGCTGGTCAGCCAAGATCTATGGGACTCCGGCTGGTTAAGGATGGGCAGAGGGGCCCCACCTGCCTCTGAGGGCCTGCAGGTCCAAGGTTCACTTGTGCCCGTACCCCAAATGGCATCCTCTTGCAGGGGATGCTCTGCCTAAGCCAGTGCCACCGCCCACTCAGGAGCCAGGAGGCATGCAGATGCCTCCCGGCCCTGTCTCCGATCCCACGCACCCTCTCTGTGCCTTCCCTGGCACCCGGGCTTGCCTGAAGGCTGGCTGGCCTTCCTGCCTCTCGCACGCCTGCCCCCTGCCTGCCCCAGGCCCGGACCTTCACTCTCGGGGCTGAGCTCTGGCTCTGCCCTCACACAGGCCTTCGCTCCTGCTCTCCCTCCCCGCCCCCTCTCCAGCTGCAGACTCACTCCACGAAGCCCCCGTCTCCAGCAGCTTCTGGGCAAGGGCTCCCAAAACACCTCACTCTGCCCGCTTTTAGTGCACAGTGTGAGTGGTTCCAGGTCTGTGCACACCTCGCCGGGTCTCCAGGGGCCATCCCAGCGCTGGACATGAAGCCCACCGGGGCTTTGTTGGAGGAGTGATGGGAGGGAGGGAGGCAGGAGAAAGTGGAGACTGGTCCTTTTTCAGGGAGGTGGACGTTTACGAGGAGAGGGTACTAAAGCTCTATTTCAGTCAGGAGGACTTCAGAGCAGTGCTGTGGGCTGCTGTGGGCGTGCGGGGCAGTTGCTGGGCGAGTTCACAGGGAAGCGAGGCAAGAGGGAGCTGGGGCAGGTGTCACTGCGGTGGTCGAAGTGCGCCCCAGGTGCTGGGCCTGGGACGGAGCCAGGTGACAGAGCAGAGCCCCTGCCCCCGGGGAAGCAGGAAACCTGTCTCCAACCGAGGAGGGGCTCAGGGCTGCAGGTGGGCGTCCTGGGGTGGGGCTTTGGGCGGCGGGAGCACCCAGAGGTGGGCGAAGTGCAGCCGTGGGAGGTCCTGCCATTTGAGGGCTTGGGCCCACGTCTCCACTCTGCTCAGCCCAGTCCTGAAGGCGGCATGGGGGAGGGGCCGGCCAGCCCAGGCGGGGCCGCAGGTCAAATGCGGGGGGGGGGGGGGGGGGGGGGG